GGACATCCAAAACCCCTGATGCCCTAATTTTAAGAACAGAAACCCCTTCTTCATCTGGGTTGTTCTCATTTGATGACATTGTGGACGGTATTCTCAAATACCTCAACATTTCTGATCCTCTGAAAAGCATTGTCCTCACATTGCTTCCCACTGTGAAATCCTTCTTGAAGCAACTGACTTCAAAATGACCCCTTCTTGCAGCTATCATCTCCTTCGATGGATAATTTTCAAAACGAGGTCGGGGATTTGATCACTGTTCTACAGTGGAATTGTCGAAGTCTTATTCCGAAATTAGATTCGTTCAAGTATTTAGTCCATAACAATAATTGCGATGCATTTGCCCTCTGTGAAACATGGCTCTCTTCAGAAATTGATCTCCCTTTTTTTGATTTTAACATTATTCGATTGGATCGTGAGGATTCACGTGGAGGAGGGGTACTTTTGGGGATCAAAAAGTGCCATTCCTTCTATAGAGTGAATCTTCCCGAATTCCCCGGTATTGAAGTTGTCGCATGTCAGGCTACCATTAAAGGTAAGAGCCTTTGTATTGCTTCTGTATATATTGCTCCTAGAGTCTCTGTTAATCTCAAACAACTTTTCGACATATGTGCGGTACTTCCCGCTCCATGGTTGATCATGGGAGATTTTAACTCCCACGGTACAGGCTGGGGGGAGCTGTACGATGATAACCGTTCTACTTTGATTTATGATCTCTGCGACAACTTCAACATGACAATACTTAACAATGGAGAAGTAACACGTTTGGCTGGTCCATCCTCGAATGGTAGCAGATTAGACCTCACCTTTTGCACTAATTCACTATCGTTAGATTGCACTTGGCATGTTATCCAGGATCCGCACGGTAGTGATCATCTGCCGATCAAAATTTCGATTGCCAGTGGGTTCAACTCGTCAGAATCCGTTAACGTCGCGTATGATCTAACCCGTAACATTGATTGGACTAAGTTCCAATCCGCGATAGACGATACAGTATCGTCAGTGGAAGAGCTTCCGCCGTTGGAGGAATATAATTTCCTCTCTAATCTCATCGTCGACAGCGCACTTCAAGCTCAAAAACGACCGGTGCCGCGATCGTCTATTCGTAAGAAAACACCATCTGGCTCTGGTGGGATCAACAATGCACGGAGGTTTACCGTAAAAAGTCCGACGCGTTTAAACTTTTTTCGACGCATACACATCTCTTGAACGCGAACTTAAGAGCTTCATTAAGGTGAAAAAACGGTTACTGGCGGCAGTTTGTAGACGGATTGTCGCGCGAAACGTCTATGAATACGCTTTGGAGTACGGCGCGTATGCGTAACCGGTCTACTAACAACGAAAGCGAGGAATGCTCGGATCGATGGATTCTTAAATTCGCGCGAAAAGTGTTTCCGGATTCCGTGCCGTCGCAGTTGATTCCTCGCGAAACCGAGAATTCGGTAGCCGAAATCAGCCAGCCTTTTTCAATGCTGGAGCTCTCACTCGCGCTCCTTTCGTGTGGCAATTCTGCCTCGGGATCTGATAGAATCAAGTTCAACTTGCTGAAAAACCTCCCAGACGTCGCTAAGAGGCGCATGTTGAACTTGCAGAACAATCAGTTCTTGGAGCTCAATATTGTTCCCGACGATTGGAGACGAGTGAGGGTGATAGCTATTAAAAAGCCTGATAAACCCGCGTCGGATCACAATTCGTATCGGCCCATCGCGATGCTGTCGTGCATTCGGAAATTGATGGAGAAAATGATCCTTTTTCGCCTCTACAAATGGGTTGAGACGAACCACCTTCTTTCAGATACTCAATTTGGTTTCCGTTGGGGCAAGGGAACGAACGACTGTCTCACGTTGCTTTCCTCGGAAATTCAGTTGGCTTTTGCTAAGAAAGAGCAAATGGCTTCTGTGTTCTTGGATATCAAGGGGGCTTTTGATTCAGTATCCGTTGAAGTTCTTTCAGAGAAACTTTACGCTTGTGGATTGTCTCCATTAATGAATAATTTTTTGTACAATTTGCTGTCAGAAAAACATATGAGCTTTTCTCATGGAAACTCTACAGCTTTTCAATTTAGCTGCATGGGTACCCCCAAGGCTCATGTTTAAGCCCCCTTTTGTACAATTTCTACGTTAGAGAAATTGACAATTGTCTTAGTGATAATTGCACGTTGAGACAACTTGCAGATGACGGCGTAGTGTCTATCGCAGGGCCAAAAGAGGTTGACCTGCAAGGACCCTTACAGGATAAATTGGACAATTTGTCTACTTGGGCTATTCAGCTAGGTATCGAATTCTCCACGGAGAAAACTGAGTTGGTCGTTTTTTCTAGGAAGCATAACCCAGCACAACCGAAGCTTAAACTTTTTGGTAAACCGATCACTCATTCCATGTCTTTTAAATATCTCGGGGTCTGCTTCGATTCCAAATGCACCTGGAGATCCCACATTGAGTATCTGAGACGAAAATGCCAACTAAGGATCAATTTCCTTCGATCAATTACCGGAAAGTGGTGGGGAGCCCATCCGCAAGATCTTCTAACGTTGTACCGGACAACGATTTTATCGGTTTTAGAGTACGGTAGTTTTTGCTTCCAGTCGGCAGCTAAAACGCATATCATCAAACTGGAACGGATCCAGTATCGTTGTCATCGTATCGCGTTAATATGCATGCGCTCGTCTCATACTATGAGTCTCGAAGTGCTGGCGGGCATGTTGCCACTATCCGTCCGTTTTTCAGAGTTATCTCTGAGGCTTCTCACCCGTTGCGAAGTAATGAACCCACTGGTGATCGAAAACTTTGAGAAGCTTCTGGAGCTAAATCCTCAAACATGTTTTATGACTTCGTACTACCTATATTTAACACAGGATGTCAGCCCTTCAAGAAATATTCCCAATCATGTAGTCTTCTCCGATTTCGGCAATTCATTGAATTTTGAGTTATCTATGACGTAGGAAATCCACGGAATTCCAGAGCATCATCGTCCTATGATTGCTCATTATACTCTGTAAAGTTTGGCCATTTTGATTCTGTAAGAACATTTTACACAGATGGATCTCTAATAGAGGAGTCCGCTGGTTTTGGTGTATTTAATGAATTTCATAGCGCCTCTCGAAAACTTGAAGCTCCTTGTTCTGTGTATGTGGCTGAACTGGCAGCAATTCACTACACTTTGGAAACTATTGCTTCACTTCTTCCACACCACTACTTTATTTTTACGGATAGTCTCAGTTCTGTCGAGGCTATCCGTTCTATTAGGCCGGTAAAGGACTTCTCGTATTTTCTCTTGAAAATACGAAAGCTGCTTAGTGCTTTACCCGTGCACTCTTTCATCATCACCTTCGCGTGGGTCCTTTCGCATTGCTCAATTTTGGGCAATGAGAAGGCGGATTCACTTGCGAAGGTGGGCGCTATGGAAGGCGACATTTATGATCGACAAATCGCCTATAGTGAATTTTTCTCTATTTATCGTCAGCAGTCGCTCGTTAGCTGGCAACATCAATGGAGTGAAGGGAGCTTGGGACGATGGCTACATTCAATTATCTCTAAGGTGTCGAAGTTTGCATGGTTCAAAGGGTTGGACTTGGGTCGAGACTTCATACGCGTGATGTCTCGTCTTATGTCCAATCACTATTGTCTAAACGCTCACTTGTTCCGTGTGCTGTTGGGAGACAGCAATCTCTGTGAATGTGGACAAGGTTACCAGGACGCTGATCACATCCTTTGGTCTTGTGCGGAGTATCGTGGAGTCAGATCACATTTTCATGATTCCCTTCGGGCTCGAGGTAGACAACCTAATGTTCCAGTTCGGGATATTTTGGCTAGACGCGATCTGGAGTTTATGAAACTCATATATGTTTACTTTAAGGATATTAACCTTAGATTGTAAGTTTGATTAACCTTGTGTTTAGTTTGTATTTTGTACGTGTGGGGTTTTTTTCAATGTTTGTTTTCAAGATGAATGGAAATAATTTCATGCTTTAGGATTAATTAAATAGTTGTATCGTAAACCACATTTCAAACCTCCTTCTTCCCTTTCCCATCCAAAAAATTGTAAATCTCCACTAACCTCGAGACAACCGCGAGCGCTCGGTCCAGTTTCTTTAACTTTAAATTGTGTTGGAGTGTTCGACTGTGAGGTTTTACAATAAACAGTTTCGGCTTGGCAGTCTGGCAATCACTCAATCAGAACAAATTAATTTTGTAATTTGTCCCTACGTTTCGGCTCTGATTAGGGTCTTCTTCAGGGGAAAAATTGTTGGATTTGTTACAAAATTAATTTGTTCTGATTGAGTGATTGCCAGACTGCCAAGCCGAAACTGTTTATTTTTTAACTTTAAATATAAGACAGTAATAATGTTTAACGGAAAGGATAACTCGCTCTGTAAAGTTTATTCGATTGAGCCTAGACAAGTAAAGTAATAACAAAAAAAAAAAAAATAAAAAGCTGGATTTTATGGTGCAATTTTCAGGTATTTGTCAGGTGACGTGACCAACATATTAATGAAAAGTTGTGGAAATAAACTTTTCAAGGGCATAAACACACTAGAAAACGGATAAATAGAATCCGAGATACTTCATTTTGAAATAGTGTCGAGCTCATTGTCAGTTTTGTGCTAGAAGAGTTGATTGTATCTCTATGGCGAACCGCAAAATGTAAGATTATATTACATAATTGCATGAGAAGTATGCTGAATTTACAATATTCCGCGAAAAACTGCCATTATATTTGTTGTATAAAAAATATGCAGTGGATGTAATAATTCCAACCTTACATTGGATGTAAGAGAAATTTGTTATACGTGTAGGAGTGATTATATCTCGCTACGGATAGATCACTTGTACCTTAAACTGTAATGCTACTATCTTGTTTCTTCTACTATTTTCCGCATGAACCCCCCAAGTTACACCACACCGGTTATGTGAATCCCATGCGGCAGTTGATCTACGAGTGTTGATAACGAAATGACCCTCTCCACACAGTTGAATTGCGTAACGTGTGGTGGCCCTACTTACGTATTCCGGTGCATATGCATACAGTGCATCCTTGACGGCTTTCACCACCGGGGGTCCCAGTATCGATAGGTATGCGAGAAATAGTGCCTGTAAGCAAAAAAAAAAAAAACGATTGAAAACATGACGTTGATTTGTCCGGTACCTACAATCAAAATAGCAATAAAAGCGTGTGGCTACCATCGCGAGCCGGATGCGCGTCTATCGCTTGATTCGATGTGTTTCTGTTTCTGCTCTACAAAAGTGACAATCAGTCGCTATTTTCCTAATGAAAAAGTGTAATTATCCTACAGACTTGGTAATGAATGTGATTTCTCATAACGACTTGCTAATAACCGATTCGATCTCTGATTATGCCATTAGAACTGTCGCAATTGGCATGTTTGTTGTATGTACCAGGTAGCTAAGACTTGTAATTACCGCCATTGGTTCGCCAAAATGGCTTTGAGTTGTGCCGCTCTAAAGTGCTGATGGCCGCCCAGACGAGTTGATTCTTGATTTAGAAGGGCCGAAAAAAGGCATTTAGATTAAACTAATTAAGTTAGACGCTACTGCAGTCTGCAAGTGTGTGCCTGGAGCGTGATTTATGTGGACATGTCCGTGAGAAATGGCCCTGAATGGGAAATGACAAGCTGCGGGCCCGGATTCTAAAGTTGGGAGTGGGACCGCATGCTTCAAAATTAGCCCTGCAGGAATTTTATTGATGATTTATTGGCACTCGAGACGCCACGATCCAATTAAATTAAATCCAAACTTACGCACGCATGCCGATGACGACTATGACGACTATAGCTACGGTGGTGTCTCAGAGTCCGTGCGAACGATCATGTTCATATATTTATTAATTTACTTCTAAAAATGCCACGCTCGGCACTTTTTCTTCTAATCGACAGCCAAAGTACGGGTACCCAATAGGCACCCATTGCATTGTATCGTAGAATGCACATTTGTGGCCTTCTCGTGTGCAGCTAGGGGGCAATCAAAATTTATTGACAGTTTGATAAACGCAATAAAAGCGCAACCGTAGGAGCCCCATGAGCGATTGGGGCCAGTCCAAAAATGGTCGTCCGTTGGAGGTGGGAATGTCCACTGATTGGCTGCACGATTTGGACAGAACGGGGAGTTCACACATAGTATTACACCAGTATGAGAACATGCGAACAGTAGATGGAGGGAACATGGCCGTGCGTAGGGAGATTTGAAAAATCCACGAGGAGAGTTGTGAGCGTTTTCCCAGCGGAATCATATCTTGAGGATTTTTAAAGAATTACATTAGTTTTCTGTGGGTTATTACAAAAGAGAGTAGTTCCAGGACAAATAGCAAAACAAAAAATTAAATTTTAACTTGACCTTCTCCGATTTGCACGAAATTTTGCATTTTTATTTGTTATGGGCAATTATTCACATTTGTGCTAAAATTCAGCCATTTTAAATCATGCATTTTTCCAAAACTTTCCAGAAAAAAATATACACGGTATTTTTTTTAATTTCAAGATAAAAAATAAAACAATAAATAGCGATTAAATTTCCTTGTCAATAGCTTATGAAAAATGCATTTATTTTCTTTATTAGAGAGACTTTCAGCCGTGGGCTGGTTCGTTGTTGGAAAAAATGCTATCTTTTGAAGTATAAAAAGACAATTGACACCGTCTTCAACCAAATGTTGCACAGACTGAACTCTTGACACTAGACAACGGACAACACACAACACCCAGTAGACCAGTAGGGAAAATTACGGTGCACGAAAAGTTCCACCGGCTGGAGCGGGAAGCGAACCCTCACTTCATGGCACTCACAATACGCCTGAACGACGGGTTACGGTAAACCTAGATACCCTTGTTATATAAGATTTTAGCACATTTTTTGAATTTTTCTGAGCATTACAAAAAAAATCCGTGTTTATTTTTACTAGATAGGGGAAATGGCTCTAATGTTGGCCTATGGACCTAAGATTGGGCCCATCGCTTAAAATCTGCTATCTATCAATTTTATCTAGATGAACGCGTTATTGGTACGGTAGTAATGGATATTTTTGGAGGCTATTGAAATTTTTAGTCGATTGCTGAAATTATGTATGGGCCTAAATTAGGGGCACTTAGGCCGATATTAGATCCCTTAGCCCTATAATTAATTTTTCGATTTAAAGAATTTTTGAAAAAAAAAAATAAGATTCAAAATGGTAAAATTTTAGCACAAATGTGAATAATTGTGCCTGTAATAAAAAAAAAATATGCACAGTTTCATGCAAACCGGAAAAGGACGAGTCCAACCGAATTGTGATTTGGCGTGGAACTGCGCAGGAATTACAACGACAGTTATTAATTGAAATAAACACGGTTTTTTGGAGAGAACTTTTTAAGTTGAATGGAGAAATTTTCAAAGAAATACTATAAAGAATCCAAATTTCTCAAAACAACCCTGTATAAATTGTGGGTTTGAATTCACAATGTATGAATTCGCACCATTGCACACATTGAACCATTGCACAATGGGGAAAAATGGACGGAAAAATACATTTAATTGTATATCACTGAAATTCGCTGGATCAAAAATATAGTTCTTATCATTTCTGTAGGTAAACAACTAGCGGGATCGAATGGAAATGGTTTCATCCTGGGGAGAATACAGGAAGTTTGTGTTTTTTGCTTTTTCATCCTAAAAAAAAAATTCCCTTGAGAATAAAAAAGCAAAAAACTCACACTTCCTGTATTCTCCCCAGGATGAAACCATTTCCATTCGATCCCGCAAGTTGTTTACCAACAGAAATGATATGAATCATATTTTTTTTTCAGCGAGTTTCGGAAATACTACAAAATAAAATGTAGTTTTTCGTTCATTTTTCCCCATTGTGCATTGGTTGGATTTGGTGAGTTTGTTCCAGTTGAAGAACGTGTTTTTACAGTTGTTATCATTGTTCTTGATTTCTTGATTTTATGGAGTGTGATTGGGATTGATGATAAAGGTCCTGACTAGGAAATAGTGAAAATTATATTCATATTATCGTGCAGCTTTAGATTTGACAGCACAATGTTTGTAACACGGATGTTACAGAACTGCCATTAGACCTTTTGGTTTAAGTTATTTCAAAAAATGATGCTTTGGAAGTTGAGTTTTGGAAGCGTTGGGAGAAATCTTCCATTTGTGTAAATAAGAAGAGAAAATATATAAACTTTTCTGCAGTCTGCTGTAAAAAACACGAAGACTTCTTCCTTTGGCAGAAATGCCTGTGTCATTAGCAAACAAAGATTTGTGGCAACCCTGAGGCAAAACAGTTCGAAGTAAAAATTTTATGCAAAATAGGCTCAAGAACACTACCCTGAGGAACTCCTGCTCTAACTGGTAGTAGTTCAGATTTGGAATTTTGATAAATCACCTGCAGAGTTCTGTCAGTTAAATAATTATGTACTTATTTCAGAATTTAGAGTCAAAAATTAAACTATTTCAATTAAGCAATCAAACCTTCACGCCAAACACTGTCGAATGCTTTTTTAAGTATAGAAGGGCAACTTCAATTGAGCAGCCCTCATATTTGTTTGAACGATTTAAATTGTGCAACTCTTAAGGGTCGATGAGTAGTTGAATGCCTATGGCGAAATCCAAACTGCTCATCTGCAAAAATTGAGTTCGTATTGATGTGAAGCATCATTCTATTTAAAATCATCTTTTCAAAAAGTTTACTTATTGAAGGAAGCAAACTTATTGGACGGAAGCTAGAAGCTTCAGCTGGATTTTTATCCGGCTTCGAAATCGGAACAACTTTTGAATTTTTCTATTTATCAGGAAAGTATGCCAAATGGAAACATCTGTTAAATAATTTTACCAAGAAAGACAAGGTACTCTCTGGGAGATTTTTGATGAGGGTTTCAAAAATTTCATCATCACCTGGAGCTTTCATATTTTGAAACTTTTTAGTTATAGACCTTACTTCGTCCAAATCAGTCCCCCAGGAATCATCAAAAATATTTTCCCGAGAGAAAATATTCAGATAATCCCGTGCAACCTGATTCTCAATAGGACTAGTTAGACCCAAACTGAAATTATGGGAACTCTCGAATTGCTTGGCAAGTTTCTGAGCTTTTTCCAAATTTTTGATCAAAATTTTACCACCTTCTTTAAGCGCTGGAATAGGCTTTTAATGTTTCTTTTTTCAAATTTTTTGTGAGTTTCCAAAAGGGTTTAGAACTCGGGTCTAATTCGAAACATCATTTTCAAAAGTTTTGTTCCTCAGGGCAGAGAATCGCTTTTAATTTGTTTTTTAAAATCCCGCCAAATAACTTTCATGGCAGGATTACGTGTTTTTTGATATTATCTCCTACGGACATTTTTAAGACGGATCAAGAGCTGAAGGGCCCTTCATTAGCTCAGTTGGTAAAGGCGCAGCTACAAAGCAAGATCATGCTGGAGGTGGCTGGGTTCAATTCCCGGTCCGGTCTAGGAATTTTTCGGGTTGGAAAATTTATCGACTTCCCTGGGTATAGAGTAAGATTGTACTTGCCACACAATTATACTGTTGCAAAAATGGTACAGGCATCGGAAGCGCTCAATTAATAACTGTAGAAGTGCACCTAGAACACTTAGTTGAGAGCACGCAATAAGCTAATATGCGATGTGCAATAAGCTTGAAATGCGAAGAAGAAGAAGAAGAAGAGTCGAAGATCGTCGCCTATTATAATTGAATCGAATTTAACCTCGCATTTTGGTACTGAGGCAGCTCTTGCTTCAACTATAGAAGTAGTCAGAGATTCAAGAACATAATTAGCATCATGTTTGGTTTGCAAAGGAACATTTGGATCGAAGTTATGTTCCATAATATGTTCGATATTGCTCCCATCCAGCTGTTGGGATTGGACATTATTTCTTGGAATATTTCAAAAGTTACTACAAGGTGATCAGAATCGAAGTCAGTATGGGTAACTAGTTGGCTTCAAAGTTGAAATGAAGTTAAAACCAAATCAATAGTTGAGGGATTTCTTGCTGAAGAGAAGGATTTTGGGCTGCTTGTTCATTGAAAACAATCATCAAACATAATATTACTATTGGGATTGCTTTCAGCATTATTCCATGAGCGGTGTTTTGCATTAAAATCACCA